TATATATATATATGAGAGGAAGAGGATTGCCAATATCCCCTGTATCCTAACAGATAGTTTTTGTCACTTTACTATAAATACGTCAAATTTCACCAAGTTCGCTGCTCTTTTTTAAGCCACGGTCGCTAAAAATGATTAAATTTTCAAAAATTAAAATAGTATCATAATTATCATATTTTATTTTTATACACATTTTTTTGTCATGGTATTTTTTTCTTATTTCTATAGTGTATTTATTCACTAATCTTTTTTGTATAAAATAACCCCAATTTTTTCTTTAAATACTAATTTATTACTCACACACTTCAATGATGAGAATGATCGTCAGGGGCAGAACGTGCGTGCGGGACTGTCACAACTACAGCAATACTTATATATATCTACAGTACATCCACCAGACAAAAAACGGCTCGAACATTGCTCATATATAGATGCTTTGAATGCCGAATCATGGTCCTGCAGTTAATTTCAAGGGGGCAAAGAAAAAAATAAAACCGGTGGGCGACGGGAGGTGGTACAATTGACGCGATGTAGCCGTAAAGCTACGTCGGGCTGTCGGTCGTTCAATTGCCAGTTCCTGTAGCAGTGGTAGTAATAGGTATAGAAGTGGCTGGAATCGTTGCAAGAAGGTCCCCTTGCTGTCCACTATTATTCCACAGTCGATGCAGTCCGGAGTGACGGCGTTCCGGCCATCGCGCGCGATCCCTGACTTTCCTACCACCTAGCATGCGCCTCTAGCTCATTCATTGTTGTTGCTTGGCCGCTGCTATGATTGCAGCTAGCAGCAGTCTTTTGACAGTATTACAACGATTGTTGATGACGCAAATCAATACGCGCTGGCGGAGTGACATGGCAGTCTCCCCCTTGTATTTCAGATATGTTATTATTGCCAAAGCGAGTGGCGTCTATCTGAGCCAAGTCGTTGTTGCAGCTAACTTTTGCGACCTCTTGAATGTTGAATTTTTTTTTTTCGGCTTGTTGTTACGTATATGACTTATTTACATACGATAGTAGAATAGGAATTTTCATAGAGCCTCTATGTACTCTGTTCCTGCTAACTGGCTTGTGCTCAACTGAACGTTCCTAAACAAAATCAACTGCTTCCGTCTTTTACCCGTCCGACCGCACTCGGATGACCGCCCGACGAGTGGCCGAACCATTGTTCACCCCGCAGTTGCCGTCATCGCAGCTACTGTCTCGTGCTGATGGCTAGCGACACGTCACGGCATTGCCGAAGTGTCTCGCGATAAGACCGCAAGTTATATACTGTTACATAGACCACAACCGGATAACGAGTGATATAACATTGCATCAATACACGGACACACCGACGTATGCATAGGATGTCGACGCGTATGCGGTCACTCAGGCTGGACACACTATAGGCCTCAGGCGACAAAACGAGACGGTAGTGCAGTCGAGCAAACGACGACCTCCTGGTACGAAAGAAAACAATCAAAACAAACAAGAGGAACTCTGCAAAAATTACAGCGGAAAGGCTGTGCGATTTTCTACTTACTGTTGTCGGCCTTTCTTCGGGGCCTGCACCTAGAAGGCTAATCACGCAACGTGGCCTGAACGCTTCGTGGACGTTTTACCTCGATTTCAAACTTTATATCTGTCTACTTAGTGCTATACCAGCTATTAGATTTACTCAAGCTACTAAGCAGATACGAATACGTTCGAGGTATACGTGTCGCTTGATAGCCCGAAAAATCAGGTTTTTGACAGAAAATCGCGTAGGCAACGCGGAATCTGTAGAAAAATGGGTCATTAGACCGAGTCCTAACAGTGATCACAGATATTGGCGTGCTTTAGTAGACTGGTTGTTATGTTAAACTAAAAGATATTTATGAAACGTCTCATTGGTAAAGCATTACACGTAGTACGCATTAGCAAAAAATACATGAAAGTAAAGCCAGCGGGTAAAGTTTACATAAACATCTGCATAAAAGTTAATGGTTATAAACGTGGGTTAAGCAAGTAAAGTATATATAATATACACGCTTTAAGAGCATTCTGTACTTTATAAGCCACCATTCTATATATTAAAGTGGTCTCTGGAAGGTCTGTACAAAGCCCGACTTGGTCCAATGTTTAGTAGTGCAAAGATATTCGACATTAAGATGCGTACATACAACTGCTTCAAACTTAAAAAGTTCAAAATAACTGCACGTAAAAATAGTTTTTGTAGCGATTCGATTAACTTCGTGGTTATATAATACCGATGCATATTTAATGAATGTTTAGCATAGTGCAATAGAGAACTTCCAAGCGCCGGTATCGATAGCGATGACAGCTACAGCCAGGAAATTATCACTCGAATGATTTTTTTTAATTTATTAAACGATTTCCGCTCTTAAACGAACGATGGCAGTGTTCGACAACTTCGACACTCCATTTCGACCATATTATGATGTTTTGTGCCAACGTCACATAAAAGTTCCTCAGTTCCCCAATTAGCCAGACGCACCGTCACTTGTTACATTGCTGCGCTGGGTCGTCCAGTGGTATGGGAATCGACTGAGGTATCTAGACGCTTGGACTCCCTCTATATCGCTGACAATGTCTTCCTCCTATTTGTTGGACGGAAGCTTTTTTCCCAGGAAAAGGAAAGCGACTTGTCCATCTGTTCGAATAGTATAGATTTCTTGCGCCTTGTTACGTTGGATCCAGCCTTAGCTCCTTTTCGCATAGACGCATACATCCACGTCTCGTAACTAAGCGGCGCTACCTGCTGGGGGCCACAGTTAGAGGCACAGTGGTCACACCATAGACTACAAAAAAGGTACAGGAATCCAAAATACTTCAGGGCAGTCCGTCGCACTTCAGTTGGGCTCATTCTTCGAACAAGGGTCAGGTTAAGAAACCTATAGATACTAATTATGGGCTTATGCTATCTATTGAAAGGTAGCGTCATTTGCCAGATAACAAACACTGTTGTGCAAGCCTGTATTGCTACGAGGGCCTATTTTCTTTCGAAAGCGGCAGCTACTCAACGACTTGTCGTAACCGAATCTGAATCCAGTGCATGCGGAGGCCTCCAGATATTCGAAACAAATTTAGCCTTTCTAGTTCCTATCGTTGTGTACGTGTACATTACGCTCGTATGTACGATACCCTACTGCACTAGCATCTACTAATTTGCCGATCGCACGATCATTATTCTTGTCGGCGTTATTGACAGATCGAAGCAGTGCGGAACTGCGAAAGATCAAAATCGGTGCCGTTGGGAGTTCCAGAGTAAAGCCTGACGACCATTCTGGTTCCCACGAACCCCTTAGCCTCGGAAAGCTAACGTAACGCGTTTGCACTGTATATACAGGGTGTGGAAGAATACTTTGTTTTAAATTGTTAAAAAACGGTATTTGAAAAAACGATATTTGAAGATGCCAATCCAAGCCCTCTCAAGATAAGAGAACGACGGTGTATCGCTAAGAACGTTGCGTGAACGCCTTCATCACATAAAGTTACCAAGAGCTGATTATTTTTTAATCTACGTGTAGGAAGTCTCTGTAGACTACTTTTGCAATGCCCAGTATAATGCTCTACAGCTATATGGTGCCGTGATTACTACCGGTAACAAAAAGTAAGTCGGGGACGCCAGAGTAAGGGGGGAAGGCGGGAGGCTTAGCATAGTAGCAGTGACTGGAGACGGAAGACACCGGAAAAAAAGCAGATAGTCGGGTAAAATGAACAACTCAAGGAGACCTTATCCATCTTAATAAGTGGCATCGCGATTGGCCTTTCTACTAGCTAACGGCTGACCCGGGATAGCTGATGGGGCTTGTAGTAATTCTTTAGCACAGGCTGATGGACCGAGCTAGAAAAGCCTTGCAGCTGAATAAGCTGGGACCTTATTTCGGAGTAAAAAGCGTTGTGACGTCAGATCGCTGCTCGAAGGAATGGCAAAAGGCAAACGAAAGACAAAGGAATCCAAATCAACTAAAACCAACTCATCTTCCCGTAATTTCAAGCCACTTAGGTAAACGTAAGTGCCTGAAACAGAAGTCTATAATAAAACGGACAAATAAAAATAGCCGAATATAAAACTATTCACAGGCTCTTCAAGCGAACATTTGAAGCTCAGATATGTGACGGAAATCAACTAAATCTTCTTGGGTCAAATGGCTGATGTTAGCACATTGCTATAATCCAGCTTTCTTTTCTAAACCCGTTTCGTATTTCGAAATGAACACTTCTCGAGGTTTCGCGGAATCTTAAGAAAGGACTGCATTTAAATCACCTCGTCGGTTTCAAAGTAACCCAGCTAATGGTGTACACTGTATATTTAGCTGCATCCGTTACTCTTTTAAAATGTTTTTATACGAAAGTTTTACACACAATGTCTAGAGCTTTTCTTTCGAATGAAACAAATATAAATGTTAGTAACGTTTAGCTTGAATAAAAAGTTAATTGAAATAACCGTTCTTGTTTAGATACAAACTTAGGAACGAATCTTAAATCGGGAAATTTTTTTAATCTAGATACGGCATCGTTGTACATGTTATATGTATTAGATATACATAAAATTAGGCATCGTTTCAACAACGCTTGATCGCCAGTCAAGGTTAACGAATTCAATACCAGCTGACAACAGCAGAAATTTATTTGTAACTTTCATCATGTTGTTCAGCCAGAATCCTGCCGGAGCTTCTGGTGCTCATTAGAGTTTTCCGATCAAATTTACCGATTCGCCACTTCCTTATCGGTAGCACAACAATCAGAGGCAGTAAGCTGCCTCTGCTGACGACTGTCAATGTTTCTTTCATACACACGTGCTGAGCGCATCCATGACGCTTGGCATGCCGTGGCCGTTTTTAACGTCGCCGCCGCTATTAATACATTGTCTGTTGCTGCTGCTGTGGAAAATATTTTGCTACTGAATGCAATGGCAGTGGCAAGAGACGCTGGGGTTAGGTAGCACCGATGGCGGTTTTGCCTAAAGTGGTAACGAAGTCGGCGAAGACGTACTTGTTAATACTGATTATCCCAAAGGACATCAGTCTCGCTTATATTGTGTACCTGCTAGCCCTGTATTTATCTGTTCTAAAATTACTACTAACACGATCGCTGATGTGACCGCGTAGGCCATAAGCTTAAGGAATCCCAAGCCCGGCACCTTTTACATTGCGTGGGTGAACTGGTGCCGTCGCTGACCGTAAGCACCTAGCTGCTACGCTTAGGCGCTGTTGCCCCCGCGTTTTTACTTACTCCTATACACACAAGCCAACGATAACGCCGCCACCGCCATCGTTTGGCCGTCGTGTAGACGAATATTCATCCAGCCAGTCGGCCGGCCGGCTGAGCAGGGAGTGAACAAGCGATCCAAGCGACCCTTCGAAATTGCTGTTACGCTTTCATGCAATGGCGCGGACGACTAAGCGTAACGGATTCAGAAGCAACAACATTAACGGCGGGCGATGTCTGAAGAGGAGTGGTGCAAGTGCACTGAGAGGATAATTGGTGCAAGTAGTACCGACTGTGAGTAAGGCTGCAGCAATGAAGTTCGCCCAACTGCTGGCCCCTAACTTCAACAATTCTAGCGTTGGTGGCTAACGTTATTTTTACAGAAAGCCTAAGGCAAGCAGCCACCTAATGCCCCTCTGTGCTCTTCTGCATTGCTCTGAGTAATTATTTATAAAGCTTTGTGGCGCGATTACTACGTCAGCGGGCCGTGAGTGGGCGGAGGAGTAAGAGTTCGCGGGTTGACGGTAGGCTGGAAACGGCAGCGGCGGCGACGGCATGATGATAATACGCTGCTCTCCAGGGAAATATCTCTTGCAGAACGAGAAAATGTAGCTTGCGACTGTTAGTGTCCGTCGTTAAGCTTCAGTCTACTAAAAGACCAGCACAACTCCCCACATAAACGAGTCCCCATAATGCCCTACAACCACCCACTGCTTCGTCGATTGTCAGGCAAAGAAAGGCTAGCTTACCACGGGGCATAAGGGTAGGGGCGATGGTTTCTTTCTAATAACAATGGTAGTGTTGGTAAGCAATATATGAAACAGGGACAACCTCGTCTTTAAAAACACGAGGGCAACATGGCGTGGGTCGCTAACACGTATTGTTAAGTGTGCTGCCATAGTAACTGTGAAACAACGAAGCATGGCGGTCATTGTTGGTGCAAATATCAATGTTGTTAAAAGATTTACAAAAATGAATGACAAAAGTAACACTAAATAAGCTGCGGATATGGTCACTTTGCCGCCTCGTAGATTTGTTAGAGAATACGCAGGTGACTCCAGTAAAATAGCACCCGGCAGATTTTCGAATTGCCTTTCGAAATCGCGATTCCGAAGGTTCCGTCTGCATGTGAGAATGTAGGAGATGACTGGTCCGCTCGTTCACTCATACTGCCACATTGTGTTTGATAGCCGACACTCACTGAATATCTCACGTATAATGTTACAAAATGTACGAGTAACAAGTACAAAATTGTTTTTTTTTTCTAATTCAAAGATCTAATTTTAAGTTTTATCTGAAATAACTTTAAGATCATTTTTGGTGGTATTTTGATGATAATTATATGAAGATAGCTAGCTAGCTAGCTAGCTAGCTGCTCACGAACCGTTTAGTTTCCTGCTTAAACTCTTAACAGCGGCCCAGAGATCCACGTGCTTGTCAAATAGCTGACCGTTTTCATCGGGGTTCTTTCCAGTCGGCACACACACGCAGACAAATATAGGACGAGAGCAGCTTCCCTTCGCAAAAATTTATCACAGTCATAAATTCTGACGTTGGCTGCTGGATCGCTCACCCCCACCGAACCAAGCGGCACTGGCACGTAACGCAACGCAAATCTGACCTGAACCCGCAATAATAATAATCCGCGTAACAAAAATGATCACTAACGATGCTAGAGAGAAGACGTGAATCTGAATCAAAATAAGCTGTTTGCACCCAACCGCTGATATACCAGCTACGCTTTGCAATCGTTGATGTTATTTCTTCCGATGATGGTAATGATGACAGCCGTGATCGTAGCGCTGTAGTTTGGGCAATTTTATATTATCTTTCATATATAATGGTCTTTACAGTTATGCATATGTAAAATATATTCAGAGAAAAAAAAGGCCAGCATTTATCGTCACGAAGATCAGCGATTGGATGTTTTTCCAAGGATTATGTGCAGTACAATTCATATGGAGTTTCTTTTCAGTTGGAGGGACACACACACACACACACACATACACACACACACACACACACACACACACACACACACACACACACACACACACACACACACACACACACACACACACACACACACACACACACACACACACACACACACACACACACACACACACACACACACACACACACACACACACACACACACACACACACACACACACACACACACACACACACACACACACACACACACACACACACACACACACACACAACACACACACACACACACACACACACACTTATATGCGTGCTTACCGATGGAACTAAACGTTTAATTTTGCTATACCGGCCTGAATGGCGGGTGTAGTACGCTATCGCGGTCATTACAATACACCAGACTTGCAGTATATCCATATGATTAATATCTGACCATTGTATGCATAGATAAATAACAACGACCACTTCATCTAATTAAGTATTTTAGATTATATATAATCAAGTTAGTTAACTTTAAATTATCCATACGGAAATTCTTATATAATCGTCTGATTTCGGATTCTCGTCAAAGTGTTCATATATCGATCAAATTATCGAGCCAAAATACAATGTATAATTCGACGACGACGACGACGCATCTTCGTGCTATCATTATTCAATTCTTTGTTGGACTCTGCTCCTACTGACTTCTGCGTTATTTCAGGTGTAACTCAACAGCTATATAACAAATGGTGGAAGTCGCCGGGGCTGACCTGTAGCCGAGATGAGAAAAACAAAGAGGGCAAAGCAAATGCCCTTGGCATCGGCAACATTGGCGGGGTTTTTGTCGTACTACTCATCGGCCTCGCCTTCGCCATTTTAACAGCAATTTTCGAATTCATCTGGAACGCTCGGAATAATTCTCAGGTGAGAAATGGAAAAAACAGCGGAAATGATTCATCCTTCTATAGAGGTTAACGTCAGAATTCGCACGGTACATGTTTACAGGTGTATATAGACGGAAATATAAACACGAATGCTCTGTCTTCTCCATATACAGCGCTTGCCTCAGAGAGGCAGCATAATTAAGTTTGTCCTAAATATTTATTCTGTTATTTTGCCTTGATTAAGAGGACGAGTGGAAAAAAGAACATCTTGTGCCTTGTTGCGGTGGCTTATCCAACCACCTTCCATGAACAAGACTCACATTAAGCCTTGTATAAAAACAAGTTACCGAACAGGGTACGTCGCCGCGCTTGACGCTTTCGAACATCGCTCGTATGTATACTAATGGCTGTCCACTGAAGGATAATGCACCTTAAGGCTGTCGGAAAACGCGGTCACTTAGGAGAAATTGCTTAATAGGAAAGCAAGCAAAACGACATTGTGTCAATAAGAATTCGTTATGGCCACCGGGAACTTCTGAGCTTTCCTTTATGGGTTTCTCGAGAAAAAAGAAAAGCAGTATCTTACGCCTTTCATGTATCGTATCGTATCGTACCGTAACTTATAGTGGCAATAGTAGAGCACAGAGTAGATCATAATAACAATTGCAGTAAAGGATGACAGGATAATTAACCAGTGAAGCGTCTCAATGCGTCTGCGATTACAGGTCGATAGGCGATCATTGTGCACCGAAATGGCCAATGAACTTCGGTTTGCCGTCCGATGTGGCGCCTCGAGACAAAGACCCGCCTTCGATAGTGGACATAATCATCCCGCCAAGCGGAGATGCTCAAAGTGCCTACAGGGTAAGGCAGCAAATTTTATCGTTTATTTACTTCAGTATGCTTTATTACTTTTTTGACGCAAGTGCATAACTGGTAACGCCCAATAGGACTTCGTTTACATAAACCGTATTGTCGATACGTTTTATTGAATCTGTAACGAAACGATAGATTTATATATGTGTATATATAGAGGACACATAAGTTAATTTAATCACACAAACTGTGAGTACCGAAGTGTACCGTTCATGCTATGCGATTCATACGGGAGATGAAATGGTCAAAATGAACGACAAAGTACAATTTATTTCGCTTAAATCGTTGGCCATATAAAATCGGATTGATTCTGAAGACAGATAGATCGAAAATCGCGTAACCGCCCTATTGAAGGATTTGATATAATTTCGATTCATATCAGTAATACCTCACTTGATTTTTCAAGGAGCTAGAGGCTTTTTGATTTGTGCGTCGATCGGTGTCATAGTTTTGCGTCCAGTTCTGAAATAAGTTGCCACTCTTGTTCTAACTTCCTCAACGCACCAGTCTCGATTAGTGAGCCGTCGTCCCATCACTAATGAACTTCTAGCGAAACTATTTCGTTCATAGAGAGAACTATAGCTTATGTCAAATAGCCAGTCTTTGGATTGCCTGTCTGCCTGCATGTACATCTGAGAGGCAATTTGTACCGTTTGTTTCAGGACTTTATTGTATTCTATCTCCTTACATTGCGGATTATCAGCATTGCATTGAATAGCAATTAGTTTTATACATGTACCAGCCCGCGCGTCGCCACTGGTATACCCATTTTTTAAAAACGTCATCCTATCAAATCTGTCAAAAAATGAAAACGATGATCGAATAGGGACACCATCCCATACATGGATTATGGATCTGTAGTTATGTCATAGTTTATTTGCATGTTCCGGCCACCTGATATAGCCTGCTATGCCAGCACATCGACAACTGCGTGGTTAAAATACGCGCTTCGCTATTAACTGACGAGTCGTGCTCAGCCTATTCCTAGAATGCTTCATCGTATCGCGCAAATAGGCCAGCATGGTCGTGCCTTCCTGCGAGCGGTCCATCGAATTTGCGGGAGATCGGTTCGTTTTTGAACCTCTGATCTTCTCTTTGGACCATCCTTACCAGGTTAATTAGTTCTCCCTCATGTCGTTTAATTGTTGTGGCCTTTGGAAAGAATTGAGCTAGACTTAGAGCGAATCGAGAAACGGGAGAGCAATGGCGTGTGTAACGGTTGTTTCGGTGGCTCCGGTCCCTATCGAACATAGTACCAGAGAACTAGATAGATACAGAAGTGGCTGACTCATTGGCTACGAACGGAACGAAATGCACGCTCGTTGATCTGGTTGCCAGAGGCCATTGCTGCTTCGGGTACAATGGCTGCCGCCGATGCGGACAGCGTCAACCATTAATACTGTCTTTGCTGCTCACTTTCCTTCGTCTACCGTGAACGTGTGCCAGCGCCCCAATGCTGACACTGCCCGCAGTCACATCGAGAACTAATTGGCGCGCGGCCAACTCCTAATCATACGTGAGTTAAGCCCTAACGGATGGTATAGAGGCCCAATAGTCCGCGGTACATTGCCCAACGGTCAAGCAAACGAAACTGCTGCTGGGCTCATTGCGCGGTTGTGCTTTACAATAATAATAGTAATATATACGGTCATCGTATGTCCAGCGTACGCCCTTAGTACAGCGGCATGTAGGTTTAGCCCCTATGAACACACAATATAGAGGCTATTGTGGTTGTCATTTTCCGTCGTGTGGTCTACCATGTTACCGCAGCCGCAAGTGGCCGTACCCGTCCATCAGCCACTTTCTGGCATACTTGCATTGCTACATACCGACGGTAGTAATGAAGTAACAGTATTACACTAGGATAGATACAACGTTTTCTGGCCTGTGGAGCCGTAAGTGTCTGCTGATGGTTTCTCTCATTCATACGTAGGTAGATTTATCTCGTCGTGCAGCAGCTGGACCGAAACTATTAAAGAACAACGCCGGAGACTATGAGCAGCCCTGATATTAGTGCCTGCTGGACAGTATGAATAGTGCTAGTAGTGCCAATGCGATGGCAATGAATGGGGATAGAACGAAGGGGTGGCGGTTAGCTTAGGCTTTATGTGGGAAAAAAGCTTGGCTGTATGGGAAGATAGTGAAAGAGACTGTATATTTTGCTTTTTCCTCTTCTTGTTGGCAGCTGGTCAAGGACGTCTGGCAGTGACGGCCGCAGCGTCGGGATGTGAACATATCAGGATCAGCCATCGGATAGCTCGCCGGACAGGCGGATGACACTGGGGCTTGTCAGACCATAGCAATGTGGTCCAGGGGCATGAGGTCCCTAAGTAAATCATAGGGGTTTCTTAATGGTACCCACTTTTGCACGTTTATTCAAACAAAGGTACCGCTAGTCCACCCTCCTGGTGGGCTGTTCGCCGGCTGTTTGGTTCCGCGATTCGCATGTGAGACGGCTAGTCATTTATATATCATGACAATAAAGACGATAACATGATCAATAAATAGGATCATACGCAACGTATGCAAGATATTAGTCGTGTTATCAGCTGTATTCCAATGAACATGTACGCAGATATCTGCCGGCTATCCTTTATCTTTGCCCGAAAAAGCTCAGCTTACGGCCCCAAGGGATCTAACAATTTGTTAAAGCTAAATCAAAATTGATGAGCTATACAGCATATTACTTGACTCTACACAGATATTGCTCAGCTAAGCATAGAAATACTTTCGCAAAATGGAAGCTGAATATCTGCCCACTTCACACCGTTTCATGCGCCAACTTTGTCTTCGACTGTTTGAGTTGTCCCTCACCGTTATCGAGTCTAAGCACCCCCCTCAATCGATGATCGTCCTACCTTTTTCATGTATAAAGTCTTAGTAGATAAATTTAATTATCCTAGTGGGGCACAACGATTTGATACCCTCAAGCTATTGTCAATAGATCCGAAGAAAGACGAACATTGAAATATTACAACCTCTTTAAATAAAAGGACGCTTCTTGATTCTTGGCCCTTGAGCTTTTTTCTGGGCAGGTTGGCACCAGCCAATGATTGCCCTTGACCCTGACAGCGAATCAGTTTTCTTATATTTGGCACGATAGTTAAGACGAAACCTTCAGAATTTCGGACTACTTGTCCTGCTTGATGGAGGTTTTGCTGCAACGCCAGTAATAGCGTAGACGACGCGGAACTGAAGCCCCGTTTCGACTATGCAGGATGATGTTTTTTTGGAACATAATCTGCAATTTATGAAATCTGCATTGTGTCGTGCAGCACGCCGATCACTGCCTGAAACGCCGGTCGCGTCTTTACCCTACTCGACGATTTCTATAGCTACTGTAATGTACGCACACCGGAACGCTTACTCTTTCCTCTTACAGCCTACCTCATTTTTTTATGCAGTACCCTTCTCTTCTGTTCCTGCAGCTTCGTTAGTCAGATTGTCCTCCTGAGATGAAAAGGTTTTCCGAATTGTTGTTCACTACGGCTAAATCTTGATGTCTCTTCCGATAGGATCTACTCGGGTAGTTGCCGGCTTTGTTTATGCTGTTGGTGCCGCCGAGCATCGTCCTCCTATCTCTTGGGTGGCAACAGCGGTCCTCTGTTAGAAATAGTAATGTGAAGGTCATTGAGAAGATGGAAAGGACGCTGTAAAGAGGTTGGGTAGCCGGTTTGAGCAGATGCGAGCAACAGCCTCTGGGGCTGAGGGCGCGACATCGTTAGGCACTCCGTTTGTTGGTGGTTCGATCGTATTGCTACAAAATGTACGCCAGTCGGGGTGAATTCAAGTGGAAGGTTACCGCCGCAGCATGGAGAGGAAAGGACAGAGACGAGGCAGTGCGGCATGGCCTCTCACAGAGTCGGATGTGAAAATTTACTGGACTACCTTTTCGCCGCGATAGAGCATCAACGGAAGCAACGAGAGGAACGAATCTAGATCGTTTTGGGTGTGTTTCGTTCGCACCCGTTCGTTCTTGGCCTAGAGTTGGAACTCTGAAGAGGCGGTGAGGGGTTGTACATGAGATCACTCATTTGCGGAAATGGGAACGAGAAGCGGCCACTGGGTCAAGCAGTCGTGGCCCCTCTTTCCTTAGAGAATTGTCATTGGTCCTTTTTTATTATTTCTCTGATCGCAAGCTGCGTTTCTGATAGCGAAACAGCCCTCGCTGTTTTTCATTCAGTCCGAGTCTAGAGATCGTGTGCGCGAAAAACGGTGCTCGCTATCCTTACAACGAAGTGCAGGATTTAGCAGACACGCGCGTTCGACAATTTTCTGAATACGCATGAAGAAAATTCTCGACGTCAAAGGGTTGTGGTCAACATCCGTTTCAGCATACAAGCGGGAAATCAATCTAAAAATTAGCTGTGCTAAGCTTGCGGATCTGCGAAGAGATCATTACGCGGATCAGCGGATCTAAGCGATGGCCCAACATCGTCTTTCAAGAACAAATACTGTTAAATGGGGATGTCTCTTTGACAATCTTTTCTTTAACAGCGAGCCCATCCGCGTGAAGAAGATGTAAAAGCAAAGAAACATTCTCATCGTTGCTGCTGCTGCTTAACAATATAGACTCTACGATAACTATAGCGTGCAAACTTTTCAAAGATTCGACTATCCCTAGCAGACAGCATGGCTGGTGAACGAACAGTATATGGTCCCACTGGTATGTTGCCTTTGTAAGGGTGATTCATTGCAGGCCAGAGAAGCAAATGGCCGGAGTTAAGGAGTTAGGAAGTGGGGGAAGGGGGGAGCGCGGGAAGGTGAACCAGAGGTTCCTCCTCAGTAGAGCGCTGTCAGAGTGGACTCACAGAGAAGAGTCCCTAACCAACCACGCACGAACGGTTCCTGTTGCAGTTTACGAGCTCGATTATGAGTCTCAACTCTCAGTGACACTAGGAACTAGTCGTAGTCGTATGTACGGTAGTATGTCCCGTACTGTTATGGGTCCACCTACTGCTATGAAACAGCCGTGGGACCGAAGGGCAGAAGGTCAACCATGTGCTATAATATAGGCGGCTCGGTTCGGTCATCTAGCTCATTGCCCCAACCTGAAGGATAGGGGGATAGCCACAAAACGAATAAGCAAATCGTAGAGATTCGCTTGGGTGGTCGTTGTAGGTTATTTCGGTAAACCGGACGAAAAATAAGCCAAGTATGGCTCGACTTATTTGCTTTAAGTGAAATCATTAAGTACTTCCATTTATCGGCACTTGTCATCGAAAGTGGAACTTTATTACAATAACCTCATTTACCTAAGTTCCAACGTCTAGTTTATATACCAATAAAATATTAAGTGTATTCGTGGTTCGTCGTTACTGATTCGCCCACCTAGCATTGGTTGTTACGGTCAACAATAGTAGATAAGCTAATGTGGCGCTTCCAGTGTGCGTAGTACCTTTCTATTATTTATCTATTTTCTTGGACAAGTTCAGCGTTGTGCAAGTTCATTTAATCTATATATAAACAGAGATCTAAAAAAGGAATGAACAGTTTTTGTGATCGAAAGTTGTTTGTAAATTGCACTTTTAGATATTTTCTTTTACAGTGCATATATGCATAGCCACAGGGCTATCTTGTTGAGAAGACAATAGGTTCATTTACTCTGCACGGTGTTATTATTATTGTTGTTGTTGTTGTTGTTGTTATTGCTAAATCCCAGGCAGCACATTTGTGACCTCAGCGTTGGATTTGCCATTCCCACCGCCGCCTCCGTTTCCGGGCCACGCCGGCCACGGGATTCGTGAAAACGGGCCTATTTGTGTGGGCATCGGAGGCGGTTCGTGTAGTGGTCCAGGGCTGGCGCGACCTCCTTCGCCATACGATTACGATGACACCTAGCATCAGGCCCTGGAGGTCGACAGCAGCGTCGCTTCCACCTCCAACTATGAGATCAACCCACAACAACAAGCAGCCCACGCTCATCATGTGGCCTCGCAAGGAACGACGACTTGCAGTCAGCAAGACGGGCGCTTTGCTACGGTAATAGCAATAATAATATGAGTGTAGTTATTCAAGCCACTTGATTAATTATTCGAATTAGAAAAATATTATACAATTGTAATAAACGTATAAAACGTTGGAGTTATAGAGAATGTACTGTTTAAAAACGAATCGAAACATACTTTTTCGTTCTCTGTCTTAACGAAGGTACGCAGTAACCCGTAGTTAGCCAACACGAGTAGCATAATTATATAAGAAGGAGGATTTTGATTAAGTTGGCCCTTGTAGCCATTAAATGAGATGCTAGTTATTAAGTTCGTATCATCTTAAAAAAAGCGTTCTCATCCCAACATAAACACCGTACTCAAAAGCATCATTTGTTTTCGAATAACAGCAGACATATATCGCTTATGAAGCACTCAGCCGTACGATTTGAAAAAGTGCGCCGTAACGCGCCAAATCATCGTCACATTATTGCGTGCGTCGCGATACGTATACATGTAGCTAAGCTACATCGTGGTGCTTTAACTGTAGCACAATATATTCAACATTAGTGTTTTTGCCTCTTACCAAAAATGAACCCATACAAACTGTCCATGAAGCCTCGTGCGCATTGCTACTGGAGAGATGTAATATAATGCAAAGGATCTGATGATTGACAGATGTCCATATAACTCGAATCGAGCGGAACTAACGGTAGCGGCTGCTCTTTTCGAAGCTTTCGATTGATCTTCGAGCATCGTAACAACGAAGTAACAGGCATTATCGAAACGCTCCTATTTCTTGGAAATAATGCAGTATTACTTAATTTGGAACTAAATTCGACATGAGCTGCCTCTGATAAATACAGGTTTGCAATTCGACAATTGCACCATGTAGGTCTAGATTTCTTAGACGTCTTCTGCTTGCTGCAGGTTTACAATTTTTTTCGTTCACGTTGTATGCATGATTCACCAGCATCAGTATCTTAATCAGTTCCCTTCTACTATTGTCCTTCAGTTTTAAGAGGCGCTCACTTTGTCGGGAGCAAGAATAATTCGATTCATTTGGGATACCCCACATTCAAAGGGTGTACATACGAAATCGTATGTGCTTCTGCTATCTTTGCGCGGTTATCATTTCGTAAATAAGAATTTGCTAACCTAAACATCTATATTCGCCAGGATAGGAAAAGCACTAATAGTCCCCACCATAGAATACATGCAAGCCACTCACTATGCTTGCCATGTTAGAACACAGTTCACTCATATTTTTTGCTTGGCCTCACCTAACACCTTTTGTAGGGCGACTTTTACCATACATCTGGCGTTCATACTCAAATATATTGCAAAGACGCAGCCACTGAGCAATAAGCAGTTGCCAGCCATGGCACACTACAGGGTACCATATCATGCTAAACTAACTTGTACAAAAGTAGAACATCCGCCTTCTTCGCATACATAGGATCAAAGAATCTATTTAAAATCCACAGTTAATAAAAAAAAAAAAAAAAAAAAAAAAAACAGCTCGTAGTGATCCTAAAAACTGCGGTTCTTTTTTGCGACACACAACTCAAGGGAGTTAAAGCCGCGACTATTCACATACTGCACTGTTCCAGATTGTAAAGAACTGTAATGACATCTTGTAATGCTGCCATGCTTGTAATGGCTATAATGTTTAACTCATTTTGTGCTTTTCGTTAGGCATCTCCAGCTTTTACAAACTAATTTGGAGAGGTAAACAATTCCGCAAGGTAGGTTCAGATAGTTCCAGTTCAAAGAAGCCAATTAGAAGCTGCCTTATCAAGGAGCTAATATAGTGTCCACCTTATCAATTTAAATCGGTGTGCCATATGGTGTCTGCTTTGAAGTGGCGTACAGAAGAGCCCTAGATTATGTCTTTTCTAGATGAAACCTTGAGAGCAGGTAGATCTGACAAGGTGGAACCACGGGTTCTTGCCTGGGCTGTGATACTTGACCATTCATATCTGTATGTACTCTATGCATTGAGGAATGGCCAGCAAGGCCACAAATACCTGTTGAATCACACAATAGTCTTTGCTAAATAGCGGAACTTAATTTCGTTTTCGTATTACCCTACGGAAACTGGTGGCCGCCCTCGCGCTCTTTCATCACCTAAAGCGGCCTTGAACCGCCTGAGGATACTGAGAAGGAAATCGGGTTTCCGGTTTTACGAAGATGTTCAGCTTTTCGGTATCCGATGGCAGCTGGCTATGCCGCAGTGATTTCCACTCTAAGACACCACTGAACCTCCCGCAGATCGCAGTCCTGTGAGTCGCCAATTTCGACAAGGGGGGAAGTATGAAAGTCGAAGGATCTCAAGGCTCGACGTTTCTGCCCATTGCAGATCCTTTCTTTCTTGCTAAGGTAGTTATCGCTTTTTCCCTGCTGTTTCTTAATCCTGCCACCCAAGACCAGTATTGAGGGAATAAGTAGTACAGGCCGCACACCTTTTACCACCAACCAACCTCCTCTTCGCCGGTGGGACTTCCAAGACGACAAATTCACTCCTTTTTTTGCTCTTTTCGGTTGTAGATTTTTCCTATTTTCTACTTGGCCATTTTGAACCTAGCTATTTGCCAACTTTAATTCACCGCGATATTTCATAACCTCTTACTAATATGCCCTACTTAAAAGCTTTCGAGATCAATGAAGGAGCCTCTTTGTCCCTTGTTGATCATAAACTGGTACTAAGTTGCTGTTACTGCTGCTTGTACTGCTTGACCTTCAGGATACTTTGTCGCCAGTGGTTTTTTCGTCAAGCCCTAGTTAGGCTTGGTAGTATTAGCGCAATTTGCAGAATTTTACCATTCGCCTGTATTGTATAACGCTGTCATTCGTTTCGGTCTGTCATTTCTGTGTTACTAAGATCTATACTTTTGATCTACGCGAGATACTTCATGGCCTTTCAATCTCGCGTCTATTGCGATCCGTGTACGCTACACATCGCTTTGAAATCCTATGGCTAGGTTGGTTGGCCGTCCTGTTTTCTGCAGTGGTAACCAGAATCGATTTTTTGTTTTTTTTTTATGAGAAAAATAATGAATACCTCACCTTCAATATGTATATAAGACGTTTCTATAAATGTTATAGCAGGTCTAGGATTCTCAGTAGTGAATTCTTTTTGGTCCCAAGGACATTCGTACTCTTGTTTTTCGATATAGGATTCTGTTCACTTATCGGTAAAATCTTGTGTCGCCAGCGTCAGTAATGTCAGCTGCTTGAAGCTGGTAATGCACGTTACGTCCCACTGACACCAGAAAATTATTAGCTTTAAGTACCACTGGCTATAGATTGCTTCTTTTAAAAAGCTAAAACGCTTAAACGGCGGGTAGGTAAATACATCGAAGCACTTAAATAAGTCTAAACAGGCAATAGAAAACGAACCACCAACTCCTCATCATGCATCGACTTCACCAGATGCTAATTTAGCGTAACCACGCTCTTCATTTGTAGTCTTCCATGAATGAATCTCTATGAGCGACAATTGTTGATACTCACGTATCGTTAAATGCAAATCTGTTCGGGGACGTAGCCCAACAGTAGTTACCATTCCAATACCTCAAGTCGCCACTGCCGAACGAGTATGCAATAGTCATGTATAAGCAAAGAAGATTGCTCTGTTCAAAAGGAGGGCAGTTGTTAAAAATAGCAGCAGTAAAAGCATATATGAGAGAGACTATATCTGAGGTACGATTTTCTGGAACGTCGAAGAGATAAATAGTTATTATATTCATATAGTTACGGTATATATTCGGTTCGTCGATTTCCTATTAAGAGAACTGCTAGCGCCGCTGGACACTCGATTGGAACTCACTTCACCTGAGTTACCTGGCAGCAGATCCTGTCCACGGTAGCATAACAACTGCGTTATATGCCCCTGTGACCACTGCACTGACAGGCAGTTTTTAAATGAGGAAGCGCACGAGGATGAGCTTTCAACATATTGAAACAATCTTTCATGGAAGACAAGATAACACTGCAATGTGCACGCAAGTGTACCATATATATCTCTACGCGAAAACCAAATAACGTAGTAGTTTCCAAATCTCAGCCTATAGAGCATATTTAAGTCAAACGGCGTGCTGGGAGTTTACTAGATCTAATGCCAGCATCTAGTCTAATTTCGCGAACCGTTGATTTCGACCATTAAAAATACTACAAAATAAGCTATTAGCCAAAAACAAAACACAAGGTGAGCCAGCAGATATGAATTTATAGTAAGGATAGTTCTCCTTAAAGAAATCATAACGTCATCTCGACCTAGATGTCACTATCCACTAGTTATTCTACGTTATTATTATTATCCTGTATAGGTTTTCAGTTATCTTTTTTTTCTTACAAGTGTGCATTCACTTGTGGTACCGGTCTATCCAAAGCAGTAATCGTCCATTTTTTTCTTGCTCGTTTTTGTCGACGACTCCTGCTCCTTGCCTGCTTCTATCCTTACAGATACCTCGTCGCGGCTCGATGACCTCCTTTGGGCCTTACTGTGTGAACACCGATGCCATCCTTTCACAGCCTAGTGTTGGCGCTGTTACTGCTGGAGGCGCCACGCGTTGTCTTTGTGCCCATCCTGCGCCAGCATCCCAACCGCCCATAACAGCCTACGCGTCACGCTACTTTCTGCAGAGCGACCGGGACCGAAGTATTTATCACAACCATAAGCACGGCCATCAGTGTCTCTGTTACCATTCCGTCTACAACCGGAACAGACGACAGGGCGCCATACACGTAAGTACTATTTCCTCTCTGCAGCAGAGCCCTTACTCATTACCATTGTTTGAGTAAGACGGAAAATATCATACCCCCTATTCTACTTATCCCTAACCCGCGTTGCTCTTACAAAAAAAGAGAGGGCGCTTGTATGAGGGCTCGGCTGTGGACTGATCTTGGTCCAGATCCAGTCGACCACAAGGTGGCGAGAGATCAGCAAAAGGTTGGCCAAAACCACGGTTACCATCTCAGATTGACTGAGAATCCGTTAGAGTATGACACTTTAGACTCTTATCTGCTTGGACGCTCCTTCACGCTAGCTACTAGATAAAGCTATATGAATGGCCTGTCATTGTTAATCGATCCGTATAGCTATACAAAAATGTATACAATACCTTGTCTCGTGCTGATGGCCTGCACAGACGTTAAGTCGGAAAAAGAAATAAGCCATGTTGAAAAAGAAAATTCAATAATCGTTTCATTGTAATTTAGCTTGTAACTGGTAGGTGAGTATATGAACCTCATACCCATAGCCAAAATACACTTTAGAAAAATAAGGTGCGTTTACAAGAAAAACGAGAATTCGAATAACGGGCCTCGTTTTGTGTTACCAAACAATTCTAGAGCTATTGGCCAAATTTCAACCAAGTCAGCTAAGATTCAACAATACAGCTGTAGGCTGATTAGTTTAACTGTGTGATGCCTCAAAAAAATTGTTCGAGCACGATAGATATGCAACGTACATTGTCTCTGTTCTCCGTTACTTTGTTGCATGGACAGCTAACCGCGAGACCACTGTGGCTGAAGCCCTTTGCATAGGTACGTGGGTCATTATTCTGCGGGTCGACATGTGCGGGTCTGCACACCTTGCGTTTCCTTAACGGATCACACTGTGCATCACTTTACCACCTGCAATGTGTGAAAGTTGTGTTAAAAGAGATATTGTTCACCGTTGACCTTACCGGAATACACTTCAACAGTTCTGCCAGGCGTGATCGCCTTTTGTCGCTCTTTTCCACTTCTTTTACCTGCTTAGAATCCCTTGAGAAAGTAAACTAGAGAAGCTGTGATTTAATTTCCGAAGCAACTCCATACGGTAGACTTGTTCCACTGTAATGATTTGTATTTTGGCTTAGCGAGATATCATGCGGCCACAAGGAAGAGCCGTCGAAGAGGCCGAAATTGCTTCAAAGCTTTGAATAGATAAGCTTCAAAAGATGGTGGGAACAAACGTGTAGGCAATGCCAACCTGGTGGATGGAAGACATGCACTTAGAACCGCTGTCGCTGTCCTGGACGGAAGCTCTTCATGGGGAAACAGATCTCTCGTGCTTTCGCGGGGCATCAAGTAGATCAGACCTGGCAATTGACAGCAACGTCGTCGTGCTACAGAGAAAGCCCAGACGTCATGTTGTTGTGACGTGCACTTCCTAAGCTATTTCTTAAGCAGCGGTGCCAAGCCTCCATCCATCCATCCGTTTCGTCTTCTTCACACTATGGTGGACACTAGACGCAACACGAACGAACTTGGCGGTGTATATTCGTCCGATGGACTGTCTTCAAAATGCCGCGCCCGCTGCCATTTGTAATCTGCTATACATGGGTACCAGAAAGTCAAGTGCGCCTCCTTCCATCATGTCACTGTACATATCGCAGCAACCGCCTTTCCCTCACCTGCGTTTCTATACGCCAATGATCATTGCGTCAGTTGCAACAGATACAATAGGTACTATTTAGCTGAGAAAGCCTAATCGGGTACTTAACATTACAGTTTGCTCTATAGCGACGTTAAATCAGGCCGGCAAGGGAAGCCGCCTTCCCGATGTTGCTAGACAGCGCACAATGTTATCTGACGCATGCGGTGTTTATCTAAAAACAAATACGGGTCTAACATTACGTCGTTCATAATTACAAATGCCGCAACATCAGATATTACCTTACCGCTAGCTGCTATATATATATATATATGATCAGCTGGTAAAGATACCACTGGTGTGTGTGTTTTATTACATGCGTTTTGATTTACCCATTAAGCTACCGTAGAAATTTCTATTATCATAGCACGAATATATATTATATAATAGCATGAAGGTTTCTGGTATACGTTTCCGTACTCTAGACGGATGATTAACTATCTCTTCGTTATCCTATTTCGGTAATTGTACAAAATATATAGCAAGTAGAATGAATGTTAAAAAGCAGATGAACGATGTCATTTTAGATCATTTTGATGTCCGTAGTTAAATCATTGTTATTGCTCCTATAAAATATCCTCTTCGAACTTTCAATTCCACCTGTGACAGATTTATACTATGTCCCGAATACCCACTGCATTTGAATTTGATTTACATTGATTTACTACAGTACATCTACGTGGCCCGTGCAATGGTGCGTGAACACGTTCCTATAACAGAAATCTAAAATCTGCTTTATTTATTTAGTAGGCGTATAAACGCATGTATCTTCCATTTGACCGGCGTGAGCCTTAGGTGGCACGGATATGGTCTTCTTCCAAATTGCATATTATTTATCGAATTTTCATCGTCCCCGATCTTTGCTTCACTGTCGCAATCAAGCTAGCTTCAGCTGTATGAATATTGGTGGCCTGAAGGCCATTGAGTGCACAGGCTGTTCTGTTGTGAGATCATGCGTGCGCATGTACAAACACCAGGGGCGCAGAGAAAAAGAACAAAGAACGCCATAAAGAGGCAAAAAGCACGGAAGAAACTCCATATCGTTTAACTGGTCAGATAGAACTTCATTCGTCTAGGACGGGCTGCTGTTAGTGACACGCCCTGCGCACATAGAGCATTGGAATCACGGTGAAACTTCTCGGGTAAAAACATTCCACCTGGTCACGTTATTGCCTTATCTGTTAGGTAGATCCGTGGACTAAGAAGAGACTAGACAACTCTGGACCAGGCTGGCTTGCGAGCGAGTGGACGATCTAATCGTTAGTTCATTGCGGACAAGGGGTTTGGGTTATCACTTGGTGCTTGCGTACTCGTCAGCCAGACTTGCTTTGCGACCCACCTTTGCCAGTGTTCCGTGTGTCACGAACAAACGAACATACATTAGTAAATGGTGCATGCATAGGGGAGGTGACTGATGGCGGGCCGGGTCAAGGGGCTCCCACAACTGCAGGTAGGTTAACAGACGTCAAGTATATATTAAGAATGAATTGTTAATTGGTAGGCGTCGAGTTGGCATGTGAATGTAATTAAAAACAAAAAAAAAAGGTTGTGAGGGAAGGTCATTGCAAAAAAAAGAAAACCGATATCATACATTTTTTGTCTTTTGTATGCGCATAAACGGAGCGCTATTAGACGATTAATCCGAATGAAAAAGAATATTAAACGGATCAAATAGCGGAGCCCATATCATAGGGTATACAAGGCCCAGATTCTGTAAATAACGCACTCGAAGAAAAGAGCTAAATGGAAAGGAGACTGGTGATGATAGTTAGTAGTTCAACGAAGACAAAATGACCCAGGGAATACGAAACTATAGAAATATGATCCTTATTATCAGGTCCCAATGGCAAGGTTACCCGTATTTACTAAACTTCTGTTTAACTAAACAACAATTTGCCTCACGAGACATTTATTTTTAAACTCCCGGAGGTGTGATATTAAGTATACATTAATATATATACAATAATATATATATATATATATACAAATGCGTTTAACTAGTGGAAAGAATAACGTAATTGCAATAAATGCGATAAGTAAGATTTTATATTTACTTTGTAATGATTCTTGGTTTTTGTCCATTTTCTAATTATTATTTCCATTGCTACGTAAACTTTTCCGTGATGCCCTTCAAGTCCGTGGCATGAGTCCCTTACGTACAATACAGAGCGGCTTCAATCGTAAAGAAATGTTTCAATTTGGCGAACGGCGAGTCCAATGCGTTATCCTAGAAGCATAGACCAACATTTCCAACCATCCCCAATATCATGAAAAAGTAGCAAAGGGCAATATTAAGGAAAGGAATAGCATAGTTCCTGACCTTCTGTACCAGCAATCCCGGCCTGTGAAGTAGCTGGTATTTGAACACACAATAAAGTAAGAAAAAGTTTAAATGTACGCCTTGCGTCAATCTTTCTACCACAATGCCCGTTTTTACACTTCGCTATACCTATTCGTTTTCAATTATGTAAAAATGCTTTACTTGAGTGCAATATTCCTGTTTATACTTAGTAGCTCCTTAATTTCCGGGCCCAACTTTTTCTAATTACCTTTCATCATGAAACAGCTACCCCACTCCCCCAGACGCACTACCGTGCAGAGACCAATATCGCCGATCATAAACTATACATAATCCGTTAAAGTACGATAACCATTTTATCGACCTGTTCGGATTTTATCTTTGAGAAGCACAGCTTTTGTGTGTAGGTTCTGAAGTTAAAACAAAGAATAGACTAGTAGAGAGGAGAGACTACACTCCGACATAACCTTTTCCATAATACTGCACCCACCATAATAGCTCGACCCCCTTTGTATCCAAGCCTTGTTCTCTCTTCGTCGCACTGTAACCTATTTCCTGATGGCTACCCTGGAGGTGCCTTGCTCGACAAGCCTTTTCCCAATCGTCTCTTGTCTTGAAGCAATGCACGCAAATTAAGCATTTTGTACCATTCATAAGTTAAAAATTATGCTCATATTTGAACTACCTCTCTGTAACATGAATAGTTTCAAAATAAAAATCATTTGTAAAAACAGAGCGGCCTCTTAGTTTGTCAACTAATGTTGTCCGTTGATTTGAAACAAGCTCATGCCGCTAATTACAATGAATGATCGTATCATTCTTTATCTCCTATCTAAACGATGTAACCTCCTGGAGCCAATTAAGGCTCTTTTCAAACGCAACGCAAATAGGGGACCTGCAAGTGATGCTATTAATCTTATCAAATAAGATCACCATTAAACTGACCGCTCAGTTCGTGTCATAATATGAAGTCTATACCCTCACTTACTTCAGTGGATTGTGCAATGATATAATAGGCCACCAAAA